TCAGGATAACGTGTATAAATATATTCAAGTCTCAGTTACATGACTTTTCAAATATATGTATATGCTGAAAGTTTTATTAACAAATAATTGTCAGTAAAAAAAGAGTATTTATGGTCAAAAGTAAAAATATTTATCAATTCATATGCATCTAGTTTCTGTCTCATTTTATAACATTTTACATTCAGTCTCAAACTGGACTTATACTCTCAAAACTCCTTTAAGCAAAAAATGATAATAATTTTCCAGAAATAATACCCTCTCATTGTTGTGTTTGATTATAGTTCATGGGAACTCAGTATCTCTGACATCAAAAATAATGTTATTTAATACCAAGCAAAAATAAAGTTGAAATACTACTCGATTTACAGTACAAAATGCAGGTAATACTAATGAAACAATTGAACATTATGCATTTTTCCTGTTATCATATGGATCATATTTCTACTATTCTTTTTATGCATATGTGTTGGCTAATCTTTTCGTTTCCTTTATGCATTTTAATCTACTATTTGTTCGTGCACTAATACCATACAATGACCCCAAATAAAACTTTACTTTGTTGCATTCTTGGTTTACAGTTTTTGTTGAGTCAATTTATAATTCAAAATAGTATTTTTTTTTTAATATTTACTTTGATTGTATTTTTTTTTTGTGATTTAATTCACGTGAGTTCAAGTGCTTTTTCGGAAGTGTAGCCTGTCTAATGTCATATTGTTAACTATCTTACCGGAATGTAGCCTATCTTACATCACATTGTTAAATTAGTTCGTAGAAGAATAGTCTTTTGGGCGTCATATTATTCGAATATTTTTCCATAACTGAAAACGTCTGACATCATTATTGTTGAAATTCGTTTCTGGATTTGTAATTTGCCTAACATCATCTTGTAAATATAAAACGATAAAAACCCTATAACCCGAGCCCTTTCTTAAGAGTAAACTGAAGAAGAAAGGTTCACTCTTCAAAAGCGCTCGGGTTGTAGGGTTCTTGAACCTACGTGTTTTTCTGACATATTGAAATCATCTTGTTAAGGTACTTTTCCGGGGGATGTAATCTCTTTAAAATTATATTGTTAATGGAATTAGTTTAATACAATGCCAACTGTTGCTCTGACATGAAGCACTGTCATAAATTACATATAAGAGTTATGATGTGCAGATGTTTTTTTTTTAACTCCTTATTTCTTTGTTATGCATAATAGAATTGGTCATATTTTTAACAATTTCCTTTCTAATGATGTAGGCCCTGCTAACTGTTTCGTTTTATTCTATATAGTTCTTATACCCTCCACGAGTCTAAGTATCAATAATGATTTTGAGTAAAGATCCTCTTGTCTTTGTAAATGATCCTTGCACATTTGAGCCTTTCACCATCTTCTGTGTCTTCAAATTCTGTGACTCCTGTGTATGTATTTGGAAAGTTTTAGTTCAATCACCGGTTTTCTCGGAACGGTACAATTTTTTGGGTCTCTTTCTACATTTCAGCGTGGACTGTGATGATTTCAATAGCTGTGTTTCTATTTTGTCCAACGCCCATACTTATTGCTGTTTTGAGAGAATGGTGAAATGTTTAAGTAAAGATTGCAGTTACTATGAGCGTTTAGTCGCTGTTTTTGGTACACAATGGTCACTGTCTACTTTTGATGGCCAACCATGTTGGATTATTTTATTTAATGCTACAGAAGTTGGCTACTCCAAGAGAAGTAACCCTTATAAGTGTGTAGGTTGAGGTACCCGAAAAGAAAACATAAGGACAATATGTTCTGCATGTTTAGCGTCGCCAAGTGACTAAAAAGTTTGGGAACTTAAAAAGAAAAACATCTGTAGATAGAAAGCAGACAAAATATTCACGATCACGGCGAAATACAGTCCACAATCAGAGAAAACGGAAAATAAAAAAAAACAATATCTGTTGATAGAAAATAGACAAAATACGTTAACGATTATGGCGAATTACGGTCTACAGATATGGAGAACAGAAAAGAAGAAAACATCTGTAGATCGTAAATAGACAAAATACGTTCATAATCGCTGCATATTTCAGGCTACAGTCACGGGGAATAGAAAATAAATAACAGAACATGTGTGGATCGAAAACAGTAAAATATTCACGATCATGGCGAAATACAGTCAACAACCAGGGAGAACGGAAAGTAAAAAACAAAAACAACTAACTCCTGTAGTTCTAAAATAGACAAAATATTCACGATCTTGGCGAAATACAGTCAACAATCACGGAGAACGGAAACTAAAGAAGAAAACGTGTGTAGATCGAAAACAAAATACATTCATGAAAACGGCGAATTACAGTTTACAGTCGCGAAGAAAAGAAAGGAATTCTTGATCATGAAGCATCAATAATCATTACGCAAGGAAATTAATTCATAAAGTACAAAAAAATAAAATCGCCCAATCACAGGTCATAGAAGCCCCCCGCGCACCTGTTTTTATATGTCCCAATTGTGTTATTACCGCAGTTCTTAGCTCCATATTAACTACTGATAAAAAGCATATAAGAATTGTTAAAACTAGAACATTTCCCGTGAAACCCTCTTTGATATAACTAGCTACCCTCACCAACAGTGCATACTATATGTTAATGCGTATCACAAATTAGGATTTGGGCCATTCACAAATGTATGAAGCATGCAAAAATATTAATATATTGTGCTGTCGTGTTGAATACCAGACAGTATATTTTGACTTTAGGAGAAACGTGTTCTGTACGCTACGATGGGCGACATTGCCTCTTTATAACATTGGTGTTCGATCATTTTTTGTCTGGTGTTTACTAGGTTTACTTAATACTCCCACCTATATACTATGCAAAAGGCTTTGTAGGTTGTATTGCGCAGATAACAAACACTGTTAAACTGCGCATATATAGATATATGTTTTTTAAAGTTTAGCTGTCACATGGGATTAATCCTTTTAATACTTAAACTGCTGAACTCCATAACATTCAGTTCTGAGGTTATCTCACTGAAAACAGCCTATTTGAAACAAATTATTAAACTACTATTAAATGAAAACTTTTACGCTTCCTAAGGTTCTTATCCTTGGGAACATCACCACTTCATAGTAATGTTTGGTCAACAGACAAACACGCAGCCAAGCGATATCAAAATAATTGAAGAATTAGGGTATTTCAAACAGATAATGTCGTATATGCCGGTATAGCACTTAACGAGAAATATGTTTAAGACTTTCTGAAAACGCTATTTCTATACAGAAAGAGCATTTTAACTTACTGTAATTACGCAGTCTCAACAGGACCTTTTCTCTTTGACAAATTGAAACGTGTTTTTAGCCGTATTTCTGTGGAACAAAGAGGTGGGTAGTATTTTTTTAGTGAACGTGAAACTAGTATATAAAAATAACACAATCAATAATCCACACTGTAGGAGCTGTAGGCTTGAAGAGAAAATGACTTACTAGCTAGAAATCTCTTCTTAATTCATGCTTATTTTTGAAACCTGTATATGAGTTGGCTAAAACGTCTTCTGATAATGATTTAGATTTTAGTTGTATAATATCTTCAGGAACATTCAACCAGTCGTTTTTTCGGTTTGTGTTTTCTATCAATACCTATTTGTTTCTTATTTTCTTTTTTCAGCCTCCCAGTGGCACAGCGGTATGTCTGCGGATTTATACCACTAGAAACCGGGTTTCGATACCCGTGGAAGGCAGAGCACAGATAGCCCATTGTGTAGCTTTGTGCTTAACTAGAAACAAACAAACGAATGGTTCTTCTTTCCGAATTTATGACACACACCTGGGTGCTTATGTAAAATTGCAGCCGTAAGAGAAATAAACTCAAAATTAAGGTTTACGTCCACTATAACGGAGCAACGTTAGACTGAAGATGACACGTGCAAATTTCGAAAGATGAACAGTTTGGTGGGTTGGTCGTTTTCTGGTTTTGGTATTTTAGCAATGGTTTCTTGCCTTGTTTTGGGGCTTGGTGGGTAAAGAAACAAAGGAAAGTGGGTGACAATAATGTTTTAAAGTGAAACTGTCGGTCATTGTTGATTTTTTAGCGTGCATATTTGTATTATGCCTATTTGTTACCTTGGTCATCACTACACGTAGAGTCTACCGACTCTGTGATAAACTTGGTGTTGGTCTGTTATAGTGGATGTAAACCTTATTTCAGACTACTTTACACGGTATTGTTTATTTTTCTACTATTCAAATCGAATTCCTCATCAGACACATTACATACTTTAATGTTAGATCTTCTTTCTTTTTTCTGTGTGTGTGTGTGTGTGTGAATAAGTTTATTATGTAAAAAGCACTCTCTTCGTATTAAAAATTTAGTAATCAAAATACAAGAGTTATTGATTCATCATTTGCTAAACAATTTCGGGAGGAGTTGTTTGTTTGTTTGTGATTAAGTACAAAGCTACACAATGGGCTATCTGTGCTCTGCCCACCACGGGTATCGAAACCCAGATTCTAGCGTTGTAAGTCCGCAGACATACCGCTGTGCCGCTGGGGGGCTTTGAGAGGACTCTACTCGTACTTTGTATACTTACGTTTCTAAAAGCATTCATCACACTCCAACATACACCTGTCTCAGTGATAGCGTGGCACACTCAGAACACAGAAATATTTATTTAAATAGGATTAAAATGCGCGGAATACACACACACACACATGGGTAATATAACATGCTTTCAATCTTCATAGATATTTTACCTGCTATTTGCATATTTAATAAAAATACATTATATACTTGAACTTCCTTAAAACCCTTCAAGTAAACATTAAAATCTGCCATTAAACTTCCTTGAGTCTTCTGTTTGCATAACAAAATTTGCTGAACCAATCACGTCTGATGTTGCTATCGGTTTACACGAGATTCCACGCGCAGCTCGCGCGTGTATGTCGTCAAAGGTGGTGGTTCTTGTTGTTTGCTTTTACATTTCTTATTGCATGCTTAAAGTCTTTAGAGAATTTAAGTATTTTATATAAGAATTAAACGTACCCTCAATTTTCAGCAACCTTTAAAAGCTAGAAGCTGCTTTACCTGTTTGAGAAGGAAAGCGAACGTTGATACTGATTCCAAATTATTTTAATGCTACAAAATACTTCATTGAACCAAAATCTATATGAGTCTTTCTCGTGTTTTGAGAACCGGTCAAGTCATTGCATTTATGTTTAAATGATTAATTGTATCTTTCCTTTATTGGCAATATAACAGTTGGAACATTAATAATAGAACTATGCATTCGGTTCATGCTACCGAGATACTTCTATAAAATAAGCAGGATCAGCAGTGACAAATAGTTTATTATAAATTATCCATGATTGTTCTTATTGAAACAGTTTATTAAGTAAAATTGTTAATATTTCGATTTCGCCGTCTTGGTCTCCTACGAAGTTTGTCGATTGTCAGTCGAGCGAAAGCCTTCTTATAATCATTGCTGTTTAGAGCGTAAATAAAGGGGTTGATGGCAGAATTTACCCATCCTAACCAGACGAGGCAGGAGTCTAAAATTTGAGGTATATGGCAATCGAAACAGAAAGGTTTGATAATGTACAGGGTGAAAAAAGGGAGCCAACACACAATGAAACCTCCAACGACCACAGAAAGTGATTTCGCCACACGTCGCTCCCGCTGAAAAGCTGCTTGTTCGTAGCCCTGTCTTCTTCTAACTGTGTCTTCTCTTACTCCAGATCTGCTCTTAACGCCGCGGTATGAGCAGCTTCTGTCTCTCCACCTGGTGGTAGAGAATCGTGATGTTATTCTAAAATTGCTCCCGTTGGTAGCTCGATTGCAGGCAGATCTGGTAAGATATGATTTACTTGACATTGAAATCGACTTAGGTAACGTATGGTTCCCAGCAGGTTTGTCATATATTGTTCGTTGATCTTTCCCGTTACAGAAGGGCTCCGTTAGAGCATATACTTCATTCTTTTCTTCTGATGTAGGCTGCATTGGGTCATCTTCAGTTTCATAAGTTAGCTTGGGAGCATCACTATTGTCCCCCGATCCCTTCTGAAGGGAGGTCTTGACTTCTGTGGTCAGTACTGTCTCTCTTCTACGAGCAACTGCAAATATTCTCCAATAAACATAGACCATGACCAGCGCGGGAATATAAAACGACCCCAGAGCAGAATATACAACGTAGCCCTTGTTGCTATTGTACGCACATTCAGTGGCATTCTGCCGACCAGGGTCATGCCAGCCAAAAATGGGAGGGCACGTAATTAGTGCTGACATGACCCAAACTCCACATATCATAACTACAGCTAATCTGGAATTTCGTTTAACTACGTAAGACATAGGAGATGTTATGGCGAAATAACGGTCTAAACTGATACAACAAAGGTTAAGAATAGATGCAGTACATAATAACACGTCCATAGAAATCCAGAACTCACAAACTACTCTTCCTAAGGGCCAGGAGTGATGAACTTCTTGGATTACTGCTAGAGGAAGGACGAGTAGACCCACCAAGAGGTCAGCCACTGCAAGTGACACCACAAAATAATTAGTAATAGTGCGCATTCGACGCGTTGTAGCAACAGCCGCAATAACCAAAGTGTTGCCTACTAAAGTCAAGACAATTAACACAGATAGAGCAGTAATTACTGAAGCTTGTGACATTTATATTCTGTTTTCAGAATGGTCAGATTACCAGCTTTTCGGTATTACCCTATCTTCTTCTTAACTTTTCTTCTTCAAAGAAAATTTTCAGCCACTGAAGATAGGCATATATTATTGGAACTTGTGTTATTATTAGTATTCTTTCTTTGTTGTTTTGGGTTCAGTTAATGATTACTTTAACACCAGTCTTCTTAAAGGGTTTGTTTGGAAACATTATGTCCAAAATGAAGTCTTCTGGCTGAAATATAAATGATATTTAATTTTAAGTCCCAGAAAGATCCTAAATCTTCTCAAATAAAGTTTCTCATTTTTATGAGTGACATTAAACTTTTTTTATAATCTTGTAAATATTGCATGTACAATCTGGATAAGTAAACATTGAAAATGAACTTAAAGATTCATAATTTCAATACAGTTTAAATGTCAATAATTTTAACTTATTTCTTCTAATTAATGACATATTATTTCAATAATCTTTTATATTAACCTCACTGAATTACAGGCGAAATTTAGTTAATGCAAGTTTCGAACCTGATAATTTTAAAGTTATGGCTAGCTGATAACATAAATTATTTCTAATTTGTTGTACCGCTATCGCATATTATTAATATGAATGACTGAAAAAATACACCGATACTTTCAAAAGAAGACTTGCTAAAATCATAGGTTGCGATATTTTCGAACTCATCTTTAAAAACTTATAAAAATATAATTGGAATATGAAATATAATCATATGCAGTCGAACTATAGAAGTCTGTTTGTAAACACATGAGTTATAATAAAAATCAGAGAAAAAAAAGAGTCAGCAACTCAGTACGTTCATTCTTTATAGAGTGTAGCTAAACTGGAAATATAGTTCATGCCAAATAGGTGTGTTTGTGTTTTTTTAACTGGTATGATAAAACCTCATCATCAGATTTCTTCTTGGATAATATCATCCATTAGATTGTAAGTTTGAAAAAGCTTGATGAATTACATAGTCCTGCTTAATCCAATCACAAAATGATTCAGTTTATCTCTCTTAAGTTAGCAATGAAGGTGCATTTGTGGCTCAATCGTTTAGTAAGTATACGATATATAAGGATTGTTAATGCGTAGAAAGATCATTTGAACATGATGTATAAACATGCACCAATTTTCATTATGTACCAACTTTTGACTTTTGTTCAATTAAGTAAATGACAGCTGTTTTAAAAAACAAATGAGGAAATGTTGTATTTGTTCGAAAAAATATCAGATCCCTCTTGCTGTGATGCAAGTTAATTTTAAAGAAGTTTGTTTGTTTGTTGGAAGGTAAGCACAAAGCAACACAATGGGCTATCTGTGCTCTGCTCACCACGGGTATCGAAACCCGGATTCTAGCGTTGTAAATCCGCAGAAATACCGCTATGCAACTAGGGGAAATTTCAAAGAATATTTGTTCTCATCAAATATGTCCAAAATTATAATAAATGTACATATTTGAGAATTTGGCTAGTTCTAGCTGAAAACAAAACAATTCTTGGTATCACAATACTTGAACAGTTTCAAATACGGACCTGTTACTGTCTTTTCGAAGCAACCAAAATGTCCTTGTTAATAATAAAACATTAATACTGTGTAAACAAATAAATACAAAGTTACAAAAACTGTAAAAACTGTTTAGAGAACTGTTTAAGATTATAAATTAAATTTGAGTAGGCACAAATATAAAAATAATCTGATATATAATCTATACAGCTGACTTAACTGCATAACACACACATTATGTTTCATGTATTTCAAAAATTAGATGATTGTACGATTCCTTTAATAATGTTATTTTGTTTATAGGATGGAAACAAGTAAGATTAAACCGTAAGTAAAACTTACACAAACTTTTAACAACATTAAGTAAATACATTGACATTTCTAACCAAAAATTGGAAGACTTCGGAAGACGCTTACCTATTGCCAGGACATTCAAAAGGTATTTGTAGAATGGAATAAGATGGAGACTAAAATAACTGGGTTTTTCTTAAACAAGATATGAGTATGTCTTCCACTCTAGTGTTTATTAAATCACACGGAAAAATCTTCACCTTAGAAATATCCTATTTTTTGTTCTTTTAGTCTTCTACCTTCAGACAAGTGGAATTCTTTTTCACTCACGTATTTCTACGGATATAATACGTGTTTATTCTGTCTCAGTGCAAATGTCGATCTATCTTTCTTTACTAGACACACGTCAATGAGCCCCTGATGAAGCTTTTGTCCACGAAGAAAGATATTTACCAGCTCGTAACGAGTGCATTGCATACATCGGGAGACGACAAACCTGCCCTCTTTTGGTCAAACCTTTGATCTAATCAATACCGTCAAACTGGTCATTTTTATAGTGAACCATCTGATGGCGAGTATATCACCCCAGTTAGGAGATTTGCCGCATTTTTAATCTAATATATCATTTCAAAACTAACACAAAAATTAGTAAAGAACTGATTTCTCTCTGTTCAAAGTAAGACATCATGTAAAGTTTAACGAACTATAGATGTTTCCATTAATAGTGAGTTAGAAGTAGTGTGGAGGTACACAACTCGAGATTTTAAAAGTTTTTTAAAAGTCAGTATTGTTTTTAATTACTATTTTTCTGATTGCATCAGTTGCTTTTGCTATATTAAGTATTTTTGCGAATGATTTATAGAAATCCTGAGTATAAAAAATAAATTAATTCTACGGTAGGATAAGAAAATAATTGGTTTGAATTTCGCGCAAAGCTACACGAAGACTGGTTGCAGTAGCCATCTCTAATTTAGCAGTGAAAGACAAGAGGGAAGGTAGCAACTCATCACCACCCACTGCCAACTCAAAGACTTCTCTTTTACCAACGAATAGTGAGATTGACCGTCACATTATAACGCCCCCACGACTGAAAGGGCGAGTATGTTTGATGGGACCGTGATTCGAACCCGCGACCCTCAGATTGCGAGTCGAGCGCCATAACCACTTGGCCATGCAGAATACAATCCTTTTTTTTTTCTTTGTCCGATATAAATTTTGATTTCTTACAGCAGATTTGAAAATCCTAAGACGTCTAAGAAAAGAAGCGTTAAATAAAATTATTGGTTGTTTTTTTCAAAATTTTCGCGCAAAGCTATACAAGGGGTTATCTGCGTATAGCTCTGGTACTTTCAGATAAGACTTATTCCAATCAGAGCAACAAGGCAGTACCGCTAATAACGGGAGATTCAACAAAATATTTACTGCGAAGTAATTCTATGTTTTTTAACTACAGAAGTCGTGATAAATAAAAACTGAATACAAACGTACAATCACAATAAACAATATTTATTTAAAACAAACAGTTAAAATGTATAGTTAATCGGTTACAAAGGGTTTCCTTTACTGAAGAGTTAACAGTAACTCGGTAAACTCAGGTTCCAAACTCTATATCTCAAGATCGTATTCCAGACCAAATCCCTTGTGATCTTGTTCCACAGTCAATAAAATTCACGTTAGCTACTTAAAAATTTGTCACCATACTTTCCCAAAGAAACTAGTACTACTCCCATCAGTGGTCATTCCCCAAAGAAATGCAAGAGAGGTCGTTAACTTCATGGGCAAAGTGACCGACAGTGGAAAAGATACCTGTATCACTTCACTCACAATAGGTGACCTTACAAGTAACTATCCTTCCCACGAGAAAACAAAAGGTGATACTTTTTCGGTGAGAATGACGCTGTACAATGTGCAGTTAAATTGAGAGGAATTGAAACATTTTTGACCAACGTTGTGTGAAAATAGCACAAGATAACATATTTTGAATACTTCGATATTACTATATATATACAGGGAAGTAGAAAACACATAGTACGTTTATATACGACATAGCTGGCCCTAACTTGGAAATTATAGGCTAGGGAGAAAGCAGCTTGTCAAAAGCACCCACTGCCAACCTTTAAGCTACCTCTTATCGCTTGTATATCACAGCCACAATCCCAAGTTGTGGAGTGCGTTTTTGTGGTAACGAGCCAAGAACCATGTACCCTCAGATTCACAGCTCGAACATGCTAACCACTAGGCTATGCGACCAAATGATTAATGATTTTATATTCGTACAAATAAGGATCTTAATGGGTGTTTTACTGATCGCCAAAAAAGATAATTGTCCAGTTCGAAATGATTAATTCACGTCATCAACAAGAGAAATTATATTGACACAAACAACATCTTCCACTCTATATTGATCCAGGAGTTCTAGAAGAAGAATAAATAATTCATTTATGTGTTCGAATAACATCATCACTTTAGGGATGACAGAGAAAGATGCACCATGTTGTAGAGAGAAGAGCATGGTTTTCTCTTGTCACGAAAGTAATAGGTATTTTTAATGAGATCCAAGTTTTCAGTAAACGTGTAAATATGTAAAATACAAAACATTGAATTGCTGTGAGTGTTATAAGCGAATTATTAATTATTTGAAAAACTATTAACAAAGTCAAGATAATTCATGATAATTAGGTATTTTGACAGGCACGTACTTTTTCCACATAAGTAAAAAAAAGCTTAATATTTTTGTTAAGTATGTCAGTAATTAAGTTATTGAGTTAATAATGTAGCCATTGTACAACAGTAATTCAATGGCACCAATGGCTGTTAATATCGCATATATTAGTCTACGCCTTTCTTAGAATGTCGCCTTAGTGTATTATATAACACTGTGACTTTGAACTTTGATACATATTCGCTTGACCTTTTATCAAACGTGACCTTCCATTATAATAATAATAACACTTTTCTTACAGTAACATACTTTCTTTAATTGCTATTTGATTTTCAAATATAACCAAATAAAAAATACAATGATTGTAATGTTTTCTTTTAATAAGTTTTAACTGATATTTATTTCATTATAAAATAAAGATCAGCTTCTACAGTATCCGGGGACAATTGTCGGGTAATTAATTTAATTTCAAGATAGAAGCTTTGTTTGTTTGTTTGCAATTAAGCACAAAGCTACACAATAGGCTATCTGTGCTCTGCCCACCACGGGGATCGAAACCTGGTTTCTGAAGTTGTAAGTCCGAAGACATACCGCTGTGCCAGTGGGGGACTAAGACAGAAGCAGGGGTTTAAAATGGCACATGATCAGTAGTGGCTAATAAAATCCAATGCCTTTTGTAATCAGCTACAAAATCTGGAAATTCAAAGCGCGGGATTTGGCCTAAAATAGAAATCATATGTATTAAAAATGCATTTGCTGTTTACAGAATTGTCGAAAAGAAAATGAACTAAAATCATAAGCAAATTTATTATGAAATTTCTATTGTAGTGTCATCCCAGTAGGTCAGCGGTAAACTTACGGACTTCTAACGTTAAAATCCAGGGTTCAATTCCCTGCGGTGGACAAAGTGTAGATAGCTCATTAGCTTTTCACTAAAAAACAACTGCAAACAACTTTTTTGTGCTTTGAAAATGAAAGCTGGTTAAACGTTGCGCTCCAACTCCATTTCTCACCTTAGAGAAATGACGAACAAACAAAGAACGACTACTGGCAAATACTGATTGTTTTCAAGTTGTCCTCAAAACAAAAAAATACTTAACAGTACCTATTTAGATAAAACGTAACCACACTTTTTTTTTCGAAAAGTACTTTTATGATTGATCATGCCAATTGTTTTTGCCATAAACGACGAATACCGAGCTGTTACCTTAGTAACACTTCCAGAACGCTGAAGTGGTATAAAGAATGATGCCTCAGCTATAGTATAACTATTAATATTATTGCCATATCTGGTTACTTAAAATATAAATATTTTAACGTTACAAAGAGTTAGAAGCATAGCTAAAATTAACTCTTACAAATCTTGATTAAAATAAATTCGAGGCTACACTTCATAATTTTTATTTTCAAATTTTGTGCCAAAGTAGAGCTGTACATTCAAAACCATACGTTTTCCGTGTTGTTGTTGTTGTTGGTGGTGGTTTGGCTTACTAACAGATAAGACCCCTGCCGGCTCAGCGGTCAAGTATCAGAGTTTATAACGCTAAAATTCTGGTTACGTTACCCACAATGGGCAGATCATAGGTAGCCCATTATGCAGCTTTGTGCTTAACAGAAAACTACTTAACAATAATCGTGGCTATTGTGTTTAGTATTAGTTTTGTTATGTGTAATAGTTATTATTATTCAGTACTTCATTAATGCAAAGAAAAATCACATTACAAGATAAAATCATAAAACGTACGTAAATTAAACTGAAAATGTCGAGGCATAGTCTAGAATTAAGATAATTATGTGCTCAAGAGTCTAAAGTCAACATAAATAAATATAATATCCACAATAGTTGATTAGCTAAAGCAACTCGAAGCGTGTTATAATGGTAATATTTAGTGTGCTTCATGCCAAATAATTTACCAGTTAAGTCTTTATGTTTCATTAACTTTCAATAAAGTAATAAAGATATCTCTAATAACATTTTATTAGATGCAAATATCCTTCAGAATTATTAGTTTGCCATCACCGTAAATTAGTGTCATCAAGCCAACCAAATTTCTATTAAGTCAGTTTAACGAATTTGTTATTTTATATTTATTTTAATATCAACATTTGTTTAGATTAAATTTATATTTGGATACATACATAGCTTATACTCATAATCACAGTTATAGCTTCCAAAGTTTATAGCATACTAATAATAGATACTCTTCTTTTTTGGTTCGTCGCGTTGGTTATATTTATAGGCGTGTGGAGGCTTTCTAGAAATTTCAGTTTTATGCAACAATACTGAGCTACATTTAAGCGTTTTCGTACATACATATATTGTTGATTCTTACTCTCGAAAATCTTCTATAACTCTGAAGAATAGTCGGGAGTTTTGCAATACGCATTTAATATAACGTTTACCAATCGGAAAATTTCAGATATTTGACCAGGAACCTTTAAAAGTTCGAACATTACAAATAATTTCAATTCAGTGGATTCTCATCGGACATTAGTATTTTTACTAAAACATTATATAGATTCATCGTGGAAAACTCGGCGTGTGTGGCTGGTGAATAAAGAAGGACAAAGCTAGCTAGCTGTTAAGTGAATTATAACTACGTCAACTCGTAATAAACTCGCTCATCATGAACGCTCGATAAGATATCGAAGAAATTCCAGACTAGAAAGTAAGTTTGTTTCTAAGTTTGTGAAACTTTTGTTTATAAACCATTGTT